CATCCACTAGTTGCCCCCCAGTCAACCGCTTGTTTGCCCCCCAGTCAACTCCAAAAATTCACGTGATTGATAGTAATCAATAGGTTACGATTATCCACTTGTCCTAAGAAGTCCCACTTGCGCAAAGTAATATACCATGTATATAATGTTGAATATGTTAAGCCTGCAATCTTCAGCGGTTTTAGTATTTTTAGTTTAAACTACTTCCGGTCAGTGGTCTATTTTTAGATCCTGCATGGTTGATTAATTATTTTTATTTCTAAAGAGTATGGATTTTTTATAACTGAAGCGTACTGATGAAGACCTACGAGAAACTGCTTGACCATTGCAGTAACACGTTTCCTCGTTTATCCCTAAGTTTGCCTTGGTGCAGAGGTCCCGCAGGCACTTCAGACACTGGCACTGACACGTGACTGGGTTCCATTCCTTGTCGATATCGCACTTTTGAACGTACTTGCAATCACAGTCGCATTTGTGGGAGTTGAATGTTTGCCATGTGCTGTTGCAGTGGTTTGCGTTAATGTTGCAGTTGCAGTGACAGTTTTTGAAGGTTTCTGTTCGGGGATTGCAATCTTCTGGCTTGAAAATGCAGTTTTCGGTGCATTCCGTGTGGTTGTACATCACGGCGCCCTCATACTGATTGTGAAAAGTATAGCATATATCAAAACTTTTTTTGGAATTTTTAGCTTTATTTAAGGTATAGTAAAGTAAAAGGGAGAGGGAGGGAGGGAGGGAGGGATAGATGGATGGATGGATGGATGGATGGATGGATGGATGGATGGATAGATGGATATATTAATTGGACGGGTGCATGGGTCGGCATTGAATCGAATACAATGCATGATGGAAAACGGGAAGATATTTTACCGTATTGGTCGTAAGTTCCAAGTATTTCACGATAATTCTTTCTTTCTTGCTGGCCACACATTGTTGTAATCTGCTAAATTGCCCACCAAGACATCGATACAGCGTAACATAGTTGGGGTAGATAACGTGGTGAATTGGGACATTGATTGGCATAGCAATAGGACTTGGCTGGCAAAACGGTTGACTTGGGTACACTTCCTTGTTATCTGTACCCGATAATAGAACGAATTAAGAACTACAGCTATTTTTTAAAAAGATTGGTGAAGGTTTCGTTGCATGTTGCATGTTGCAGGTTGCTTACTAAGCTTGAATCGTGTTACACTCATATGCAAATAAGGAAATACACTGGGAAAACGTGCAGAAAAGTTTAGGAAAATTCCATATCGTTGTGAAATTTTGTTGATTAGATTTACACCGCCCATAGTGCATTTTGGGCTTGGAATGCAACATACAACATGCAATGTGCAACAAAACCTGGGGTTTCGGGTTCGGACGTCTTTTCCTTAATTGGAAAATTTCCCCCACCCCCCTCTCCCAGGTTATACGGTTTTTCTCCCTCCGGAAAACACGCTAAATTTTAATTTCATCTGAAGTATGATTCATGAGTGTGAGATTTTTAAGACTTCAGTAGTTTTTCGTTAAAATTGTTAAAATGTCAAGAATATAACAGGCACACTTACAATCCACTGTCACAACTTTGGGGTCCTCGGGAAAAGTACAAATATCTTTGATGGCAAAACGGCTGGATCGCTTCTCAATCTGCAATGATGCATCTTTTTGATCCATCAACAAATTCATGATATCGGCTAGGCTATCGGCTTTACGAACGGAAACTTTGGATCTCTAAAAAAGGATAAAATGACAGGTACTTAATTACTAGAAGAACTTGAGTTATCGTGTTTTGTACGACCAGATGAACAGGTATTCTGGAATATGGAATATGGACTTGGAATAACCATAACCTTGCTCGCTGTGCAAAGGTTCAAATGCTGGTGTTGGTGTTGGTGCTTGCGCGCGAAACTGCATAGTGCTTTCCGAGCATTTGCGTAAGGCATTCATTTTTGTGGAAGTCCGCTGGATGGATAATATGAACGACGTACAGTCAGTAGCAGCGTTTTCCATTGGAGACCTTGTTCTGTGTGCCTCCACATGGATGAAATAAAGACTGATTTATATCGTGCGACGGGGCTGTGCAGTCCACATCAATCTCAGGAGCGCCGTAATAAGTATACTAAGAAACTACTCTTATATACAGAACCTCATTACACAAGCTGGTTGGGTAGAAAATAAGTATAGAGAGGGGATCTAGTTTTTGAAAATATGAAGACGAAAGACACTTTCTAAGATAGTAAACATTGTGCATTGTGGTCTAGCTTGGGTCTAAATATCGTTCTTCATAATAATTCTCTATATGGTGTTACTATTGTTCCCAAGCTAGACCTCGAACTCTTGATCAGAAAAGACCTACATATGAGGCCCCGTCCACACTATGCCGGGAGTCATTTGACTCCCACTACCATAATGCTTCGCAAATATTATTTTTCTATTTGAATTTGTATTCCCTCATGAGAATAGTAAGACAATCGTAAAATCTTGCTCTTAAAACATCTACCAAACTCAGGCCCCGTCCACACTATGCCGGATAAATTTGAATCCGCAACTTTCACACCGAAACCGAAAAAAAAGTTTTCCGTCCACACATGAAAACGGAGAAAATGTTTCGCGTCCACACTATAGTCCGATCAGAGGCGGCAAAAACGCTTCATTGCACATCTGAGCATGTGCATCGAAGCTGAAATTGAGCCTGCGGTGAATTTTTAGCCTTCCCGCCATGTTCCCATGACAATCATGGCGTCATCGTATTCGAAAAATGTCTGATACGTAATGTTCTCCGTCCACACTAATGCGGCTAGCCGGCGTTTCCAAATTGTTCCACTCTCTGCCGTCATTTTGTAAGGACGAAAATTTTGACCGGAAGTAAGAAAAAATAAATAAAACAAATCATTCCCAGATACTTCTACAGATTTTGGTGACATATTAAGAGAGAATTCTTTTCGTATTCAAGCAGTGAGCGCCAAAAAGAAAGGCTGTTGTACATGGCTAACATCTTGTTATTCAGAAAGTTTAACTTTAATGACCGATGAAAGTGGAATCAAAGTGCTAGCCCAAAGCAAACATTTTATGAGGTTTAGGAGTAGTATAGGGAATGGGGGTTCCAGCGCAATCTCAACACGGGCAAGA